TTTTTCACAGATCAGTGAAATTCCATTACATTCTACAAGTATTTATTGGGCCCCTATCACGTTGGTATCTAGTATTATGTCAGGGACTGAGTAGCTAGAATTTAGCATTTTGAGGCACATTATCAGTGTGCATTTATCTGACATCATAGAATGACAAAATAGTTGGGAGCAAAAGTTCATGAATAATTTTTTTCAATCAATCATGTACATATTACATGTACTTTAAGAATTGAGAGGTATAAGAATGCCAGGCGATATAGGATGTTGGAGAATGTTTCATGTATAACATGAAATTTGAACTGCACTTTGGAGAACAGACAGAATTTAGAGTGAAAGGAAAAGAATGGAAAAAATATCTCTGTACCATCTATCCATCGATCTATCATCTATCGTCTATCTTTCATCTATATTTTGTGGAGAGCAGCTTGAATTGAGTCACTGTGATTAGATAGAGTAAATCTGAATCTCCAAAGACATGAGAATAATTACTTGATGTAATGAAATAATCAGGAGAAAAAGTTTTGAAAGTTCCAATAAAGATTACATCAGTAATAACGTTTTTGCTGTAGCATATAATATTCTTCTTCTTTCCCACCACATATAACTCATTTATCCCCCAAATCCAGTTCAAATTCATTTATGTTTTTTTTTTATTTTAAAAAAAAATTTTTTTTTCAACGTTTTTATTTATTTTTGGGACAGAGAGAGACAGAGCATGAACGGGGGAGGGGCAGAGAGAGAGGGAGACACAGAATCGGAAACAGGCTCCAGGCTCCGAGCCATCAGCCCAGAGCCTGACGCGGGGCTCGAACTCCCGGACCGTGAGATCGTGACCTGGCTGAAGCCGGACGCTTAACCGACTGCGCCACCCAGGCGCCCCAATTCATTTATGTTTTAAGTCTCCACTTCACCTTGTGCTGTGTAGACACAAACCTAAATTGGCACATCCACTTAATATAAGCTCTGATCCAGGCCCTGTAAACAAGGGTCAAAGATGATGCCAGAATGGTGCAAAGTTGACTGCCTTTGGCTACTTCTTAAGTATTATTATTTATGTTCTTAGAAAAAAATTATCTGTGTGAGTTATATCAACTGGATACCTGACTCCAAGGAAATATGAAGGTCTTATCTAGGTGCTTATACCTTATACACAGTGGTTTTACACATACAGGATACTGAATACATATTTTCTGAATAAATGAATAGATTAATAAATACATTTAGGCTCTTTACAGGCTTTAATCCTTTCAGAGTGATTGGCATGTGCTGCTGTTGTGATTCTGGAGTTTTTATGGTGAGGGGATTTTTAATTTGCTCAATAAATGAGACAGATAATTCTTTGGATACTTCTTTAACAACTTGAATTCTCTCAGCTACAATCAGAAGTAGATTTTTTTTTTTAAAAAAAGTAGATTTTAGGGGTACCTGGGTGACTTAGTTGGTTAAGCATCTGACTTCAGCTCAAGTCATGATCTCATGGTTTGTGAGTTCAGGCCCCGCATTGAGCTCTTTGCTGACAGCTTGGAGCTTGGAAGCTGCTTCAGATTCTGTGTCTCCCTCTCTCTCTGCTCTTCTCCTGCTCACTCTCTATCTCTGTTTCTCTCTTTCTCTCTCAACAATAAATAAAAATTAAAAAATTAAAAAGTTTAGAAAGTGGATTTTATTAGAATTATATGTGAAATAATAAAATTATAGAGAAGTAATATTTTACTAGCCAAAAATTAAATCTACATCTGTTATTTATTAAACTATCTCAACCCACCTCTCAGTGTGGATGAGGATCACTTTCTATGTCCCTGAATTCTCTCCTGCCCAATTCTTTTTTTTTTTAAGTTTATTTATTTATTTTGAGAATGAGAGAGAGCACATGCGCATGATCAGGGGAGTGGCAGAGAGAGAGGGAGAGAGAGAATCCAAAGCAGGCTCCATGCTGTCAGCACATGGGACTTGATCTCATATATTGAGATCATGACCTGAGCTGAAGCTAAGAATCTGACGCTTAACTGAGCCACCCAGGTGCCCCTCTTCTGCCCAATTCTTATGAAACCTAAGTTCATAATGTGGCTTTTCTAACTGAGTGAGATTTTATCTCACTCTGAATCAAATTTTCAACCCACTTTTAATAATTGTTCATGCTGCACTTTTTTCTTTGATCAGATTTTTAAAAATACATTTGTCATGTATGTGTTTTGTAAGCCTCAAACCCTCTTTTAAAAATAATAAAGCATAAAGAAACATACATTTTCAAAACACATACTCTGCTTCAGTAATTGTGTTAGGTACTACAGATAGAAGTCAAAACTTGATTAGTAAATTATAGGAAAGAACACTGAAGCCTAATGAAAATTGGTAAAATTTTTCTACCCCCTAAATATATGTCAATTTGAAGGATAATACAACTCTTTCATAGGTCTAGAAGTAGGAAAGGACTAAAGAGGCATTTAACACAACTCGTTATAAATGTGTTCCACAAAACACTATTGCAGAAGACAGTTTTAGTTTCAAGAATTGAATAAATACTTCCTGTGGTCACGTAATGACAGTACAAAATCAATGGTGGGTACAATTTCTGGTGCCTTAGCACAAGTCAGGAGAGTGGCTCCAAAGTGTACTAGTCATTATTGTATTCTTCACTGCCACACACTTTCAGTAAAAACAAATAAAAAAAACCCTGATACCTCATTGTAATTTTGATTTGCATTTCCCTAATGATGAATGATGTTGAGCATCTTTTCATGTGTCTGTTGGCCATCTGGATGCCTTTTTTGGAAAAATGTCTGTTCAGGTATTCTGCCCATTATCTAATAGGAGTTGTTGTTGTTGTTGTTGTTGTTTTGTATTGAGTTAGAAGTTATTTATCTATTTTGGATAGTAACCCTTTTTTGGATATATCATTTGCAAATATCTTACCACATTCAGTAGGTTGTCTTTTTTTATTATTATTAATGGTTTGTTTTGTTGCAAAGAAGGTTTTTAGTTTGACGTAGTCCCAATAGTTGATTTTTGCTTTTGTTTCCCTTGTCAAAGGAGACATATCTAGAAAAATGTTGCTATGGCTGATGTCAAGGAAATGACTGCCTGTAATTTCTAGGGTTTTTATGGTTTCAGGTCTCATGTTTAGGTCCTTAATCCATTTTGAGTCTGTTTTTTTGTATGGTATTAGAAAGGGGTCCAGTTTCACTCTTTTACATGTAGCTGTCCCATTTTCCCAAAACCATTTGTTAAAAAGACTGTCTTTTCCCCATTGTATATTTTTGCCTTCTTTGTCATAGATCAATTGACTATATAATCATGGGTTTATTTCTGGGATCTCTAGTCTATTCTATTGATCTATGTGTCTATTTTTGTGCAAATACCCTACCGTTTTGATTACCACAGCTTTGTAGTATATCTTGAAATCTGTGATTGTGATATATCCTGCTTTGTTCTTTTCAGGATTGCTTTGGTTATTCAGGGTCTTTTGTGGTTCCATACAAATTTTAGGATTATTTTTTCTAATTGTCTGAAAAATACTGTTAGTATTTTGATAGGGATTGCATTGAATCTGTAGGTTGCTTTATAAGCAACGTTTGTTGCTTATATTGTTATAAGGACGTTTTAACAATATTAACTCTTCTAATACATGAGCATGGGATATCTTTCCAGTTGGTTTCTGTCATCTTCAAATTCTTTCATCAGTGTTTTATCATTTTTGTAGTACAGGTCTTTCACCTTTTTGGCTCAGTTTATTCCTAGATATTTTATTCTTTTTGGTACAATTGTAAATGATGTGGGTTTTTAAATTTCTCTTTCTGCTACTTCATTATTAGAGTATAGAAATGCTACTGATTTCTGGGTATTAATTTGTATCCTGCCATTTTAGCGAATTCATCATTACTTCTAGTAGTTTTTGGTAGAGTCTTTAGGATTTTCTGTATATAGTATCATATTATCTGCATATAGTGACAGTTTAACTTCTTTACCAATATGGATGCCTCTTATTTCCTTTTCTTTCTTTTTTTTAATTTTTTTTCAACGTTTTTTATTTATTTTTGGGACAGAGAGACAGAGCATGAACGGGGGAGGGGCAGAGAGAGAGGGAGACACAGAATCGGAAACAGGCTCCAGGCTCTGAGCCATCAGCCCAGAGCCTGACGCGGGGCTCGAACTCACGGACCGCGAGATCGTGACCTGGCTGAAGTCGGACACTTAACTGACTGCGCCACCCAGGCACCCCTCTTATTTCCTTTTCTTGTCTGATTACTGTGGCTAGGACTTTCAGTACTATGTATTATGCTAAGTGAAATAAGTCAGACTGAGAACGACAAATACCATATGATTCTACTCATAAGTGGAATCTAAAAAAAATGAATAAATAAACAGAAAGCAGAATTAGGCCTATAAATACAGAGACCAAACTGATGGTTCCCAGAGGGGAGGGAGTTGGAGATTGGACAAAATGGGGGGGACGGGGAGATGGAGATATAGACTTTCTATGAAATGAATAAGTCATGGGAATAAAAAGCACCATACAGGGAATACAGTCAATGATATTGTAATAGTGATGTAATGGGACACATGGTATCTATACTGTGGTGAACATACCATGATGTCTAAACTTGTCAAATCACTAAGTTGTACGGCAGAAACTAAGGTAACATTATGTGTCAACTATACTCAGATAAATAATTAAACAAACAAACCCCTAAAAGCAGACAAACAAAAGCTAGTTTTACTTAGTAATGTCCTCAATGGAGCAGTAAAAATTATTAAAGTTATTGAGTCTTGGCTATTGAGCACATTATTTTTAGTAATCTAGGTAGATAAATGGTAATTGTGCACAAAACATTTCTACTGCATGTGAAGTAGGATGGTTATCTTGAGGAAAAGTATTTCTAGATTTGTTTGAATTGTAGGTAAACAAGCCATGTTTTTCTTGGAATACCAGGAAAAGTTTCCTTTTCACTTGAAAGAATGACTGACAATTTGTATTGAGACATGAATATTTAGCTGGCATCTTTTTTTTTTTCAAGAGAATATTAAATCATCTATTGATTACACATGATAATGGATGATACACAAGCTTTAATCCCATCTATAATTTTATCTGATACCATAATTCAATTTAGATATATTGCATAGGATGTGCTAACAATCGTATTAATAACCAAATAAACTCCAGGACTTTGCTTGGGTGACCCTTTTAATGGTGACCTCCAGGTCACAACACATTAACTGTCAGTTCAACCACACCAATGTTTATGGAGACAATGGCTTCTCTGCCCAAGCAGGTTGCACATATATTTCAAATGGAACCTGGCATCACCCTGAAGGATCTAACTTCACACTGTTGGGGTAGTTTACCAAGATGGCTTCAGAGGAGACTAACTTTACACAGCACATTTAAAAAAAGACACATTTATTCAGTGTCATGATCAGACTATTACATTTAGCAATCAACAGCATGGGTGCAAAAAAAAAAATCTAAATTAAAACCCTTTGTTGGAGTGCTTTACACTTTCCACAGAACAAAAACTAAAATAACCTGTTATACAATTAGTCACAAATACAGTCCTTGAGTTTTTTGCCCATACACATGAGTATTGTCTAAAACATGTCTTCTTTGTAGCAGGTAGGCCCTGGCAGCACTGTGCTTGGCTGAGTTCACAGATCTGTTGTAACCTGTAGCTTCCCTGTCACTTCTCTGGCTCTTCTTTCCTGCTAAGCTTTGTTTCCTGGCAGTAATTAAAAATCTTCTGCCACTGCCAAAGCTACTGCTGCTGCTGGAACTGCCATAGCCACCTTGGTTTTGTGGTTTGGCAAAATATTGACCTCCACCACCATAGAGGCCAGAGCTTCTGCCTCCAAAATTTCCTCCTTTCATGGGTCCAAAATTTGAAGACTGATTGTTGTAATTGCCAAAATCATTATAGCTTCCACCACCTCCAAAATTGCCTCCATCATTACCAAATCCTTTATAACCATCCCCACTGCCACCATACCCATCACCACCTTGACTGCCACCAAGGCCACCTCGTCCACTGAAGTTTCCTTCATGGCCAAAGTTGTCATTCCCACCAAAACCACCTCCGGGACCATCACCGAAGTTCCAAGGACCACTTTGACCTCTTTGGCTGGAAAAGGCACTAGCCATCTCTTGCTTAGATAAAGCTTCCCTTACTTCACAGTTGTGGCCATTCACAGTATGGTATTTTTGAATGACAATCTTGTCTACAGAGTCATGGTCATCAAATGTTACAAAGGCAAAGCCTCTCTTTTTGCCATTGCCTCGGTCTGTCATGGTTTCAATCACTTCAATTTTCCCATACTGTTCAAAATAATCTCTTAGATGATGTTCTTCAGTGTCTTCTTTAATTCCACTGACAAAAATCTTTTTCACAGTTAAGTGGGCACCAGGTCTTTGAGAATCTTCTCTTGAGACAGCCCTCTTTGGTTCTACAACTCTTCCAATCCACCTTGTGTGGCCTTGCATTCACGGCTGCATCCACCTCTTCCACAGTGGCATAGGTGACAAACCCAAAGCCTCTGGAGCGCTTGGTGTTTGGATCTCTCATTACCACACAGTCTGTAAGCATTCCCCGTTGCTCTAAACGGCTCCTCAGACTCTCATTGGTTGTTTCACAGCTCAAACCTCGGATGAAAAGCTTCCGCAGCTGTTCAGGCTCTTTGGGAGACTCTGACTTAGACATGACGGCGGTGGGAGGGAGACTTTCATGATGCTTACTCTCTGGTATCCATGGGCAGAAAGTAGCTGACATCTTTTTTAAAAATGTATGATTTATTTCTGTCACTACAAGGAAAACAACTGACAGCATTTGTTTTTAATGATAAAGTTTGAGTTTTCAAGAGAAAATTGAATTTTGAATCAGCTACTATGAGCTTGATTGCTTTCCAGTATGTGAAAACCTTGCTGATCAAATTGGCGGTGATACTAATGGATGTATTTTTTGATATGGTATAATGAAATATGTCAACATTTGGAAGATCTCCATAACGTAGTGAATCAACATGCTCCAAATGTCATAAGATCATGCATGGGTAAAAGATCCATTGAAAGAGCAAGCTAGACAAGTAGATTTTAATGTAACACAGAATAAAAGTTTATCGATATGGCTTCTGAGTCCATATTGTAATTAACCTTTCAGAAATGACCACTTGTTGAGTGTTGGTGTAGTATCAAAGAAGGATATCCACAATTATCTGAACATTAAAATACCCTTTCCTTTACAGATTATAGATCTTGAGATGCTATATTTTCTTTATATCAAAATAAATTGAATGCTGATGCAGATATGGGAATCTCTCTGTCTTCGAGGAAGACAGACACAAAGAGATTTTTTTAAATGTAAAAAAAAATGATATTCTTTTTTACTACATATTTTTTATTTTGGAAAATTTACTTACTTTTCCTAAAGATACATTATTTATAGTGAAATGTAATACATATACTATTATTATTATTTTAAAATGAGTTAAACGTATAAAAATTTTCTCAGTTTTAGTTTCTAAATGAGTAAATATCAATAGGATGGACACAAACAAAAGCAATTTGTGTACTCAATAATTTTTAAGGATGAAAGGAGTCCTGGAACAAAAAAGTTTGGGAACCATGGTCTAAGAAAAAGAAAAAACCCTGCGGTCACATTTAAGTCCTTTCATTTATGCATCTTCTATTTACTAATATGGAAATGAAAACCAGCACTCATATTTCTATGATGTGAACAAATAGAAGTAAAAAATTTTAATAGTGTTGTAACTGTGAAAAATATGTCTTTTCTGGTTATTTCTAGGTACAAATATTTATGGGAGATGGAAATCCTGAAATATTGTACTTGTTTTATTTTACCAAAAATACTTTGTGTTTGTGTATCAAAGAAGAATTCTCCATAAAGTTTAATGATATTACTATTAAAATAATGTTGCCATACAGATAAAATCTGAGACTCTTAAGAAATATCAGCATAAAGAGAAATTCAATAGTAAGGAATACATTTATTATAATTTCCCAAGGGCTTTTTTTTCATAGAATTATGACACCTGACAAATGGCTGCAGGGAAAATATGCCAAATGAGTTCCCCTGTTGTTTACAGCTTGTCACAGACTGGGGCAATACAGAAAGAAGATGAATTCATCCTTCCCACTCCAGATTGTCTCTACTCATAAAGGGAAACTGTTCTCTCCCCATCTCAACAATGATTGGTTTAGATCACTACAATAGATCAATGATATTCTGGTTACTTGATGAGTTTGTGGAAACAGAACAAGGAAGATGGAGTCCCACTCAAGGATTTCCCTGCAAGGTGACCCCACAGTAGCCAAAGCTGAAGAAGCACTCTTTATGTTTTGTATAGGTGCCATGTTTTTTGTATCCAAATTGCCCTTTTTGTTTTTCTGATTCAATTAATGCCACCCTTAAACATTGCTACATACGACAGACTTGTTGGTCCAAGAGTGAGGCACAGACCAGCATCTCCATCATCCCTTGAAGCATTTTAGAAATGTATACTCCTGGGCTCCACCTTGGACCTCCTGAATCAGAATCTGCATTTTAACAAGATCCCCAGGGGATGTATATGTTTATTTATGTTCGAAAAGCACTATTGTGCATTGGATGATTTCAACCATGGCTGCACTTTGCAATCACCTGGGAGTTTCTAAAAATCCTGATGCTTGGACTGCAGAGCAATGAAATAAGAATCTCTGAAGATAGGACACTGCTTAAGAAGAATAAACTTTCTTTAAGCTCTGTCAGTGTCACCCTTTTCTACCGCATTTATATTCATAGATGCACCTCAGGATTTATTATGGAAGTCGGTGGGGAAAATACTCCATAAGCAATTTTTTTAAAAAACACCTTTATTGAAGTATAATTGATATTTAAAAACCATACATGTTTAATAATTACAATTTGGAGTTTGGACATACTACATACACCCATGAAACCATTACACAGTCAAGGTAATAGGCATATCCATCACCTCCAAAAATTCCTTTGTGTCCCCCCTTTTTTCTGTGGTAGGAACACTTTTTTGTGTGTGTTTGTGTGACAAAAACATGGGAGTGACCTTGACACCTTTTTAGGTATACAGTATAATATTGTTAACTATTGGCATTGTTTTATGGGAGATTTCTAGAACTTATTGATCTTGCATAACTGAAACTTTATGCCATTAAACGACACTCTTCATATCCCCCAGCTCCCAGCCTCTGGCAACCAATCTATTCTCTGCTATTATTTTAGCTATTTTAGATATCTCATATAAGTGGAATCATGCAGTATTTGTCCTTCTGTGATTGGCTTATTTCATTTAGCATAATGTTGTCAACAATCCAGAAATAGCAATATTAAAACCACTGAATCAATAAGTGGTACTTAGTAAGAGTTTATTGTAGATATAAGAACAGTTCTTGAACTGGAAGCCTTTAAATTCAAAGACTGATGTGAAGCTCAGGGGCATGACATTACATGACAGTTTATAAAGTGAAAATGAGGAAGTTGTTTAACCTTTACAATGATTTGTTATTGCATTGAGGGTTTCTAGAAGGCAGGGAATGGGTTACAAGTGATTATCTTACACAATTTTTAGGAAAATGACTTGTTTCTTTTATTAGAGGCATTTGTAAGAATCAACCCATGGTAAATTTCAGCTTGTTTTGCAGAATAAGCTAAATTAAATATCATTTATATAGCTTAAATGTTTTTTCTGCTCAGGGAATTTTCAAGTCCCCTCTCCATTTTGTATTTAATTTTAACAGTGTCCTCTGGTTTCAGCCATGTTGTTGCATATGGCAGGATTTCCTTCTTCTTAAAGGTTGAATAATATCTCATTGTATTTAGGCACATTTTTTCTTAATCCACTCATCTATTAATGGACATGTGAGTTGTTTCCTTATCTTGGGTATTGTGAATAATGCTGAAATAAACACTGAGTGCAGATATCTCTTTGAGATCCTGATTTCAAATCTATTGGGTTATACCCAAAAGTGTATTGCTGGATGATATAATAGTTCTATTATTAAATTTTTGAGGAACCTCCATACTATTTTCCATAGAAGCTGCACCATTTTACATTCCCACCAATAATACACAAGGGTTCTAATTTCTCCATATCATTACCAATAATTATTATCTCCTGTCTCTTTGACACTAACAGGTATGAGGGATAGTTCATTGTGGTTTTGATTTACGTTTCCTAATGATTAGTATGTTAGGCATCTTTTAACTTATCTGTTGGCCATTTGTATGCCTTCTTTGGAGAAATGTCTGTTCAGACCTACTGCCCATTTTAAAAGCAGGTTATTTGTGATTTTGGTATTGAGTTGTGCCTACAACTCAATGTATATTATATACATATATATATAACTCAATATATGTTATATATTTTGATATTAACACCTTATCAGATATATGGTTTGCAAATTTTTTCCCCATTCTGTGGATTGACTTTTTCACTCTGCTGTTTCCTTTTCTGTGCAGAAGATTTTCAGTTTGATGTAGTGCCACTTTTTGTCTTTGTTGTCTGTGATTTTTTTGTCTATTTTTGTCTTTGTTGCCTGTGAATTTGGTGTCATAACCAAAATGTCATTGCAAAGACCAATGTCAAGAAGTTTTTCTCCTGCGTGTTCTTCTAGAAGTTTTATGGTTTCAGGTGTTATGTTTGTCTTTAATCCTTTTTGAGTTGGTCTTTATGTATGTATGGTGTAAGTTAAGAATCTCATTTCATTCTTTTGCATGTGTGTATCTAGTTTTCCCAACACCAAGGAAGGGAGATTATCCTTTCTCCATTGTGTATTCTTGGTAGTCTTATCAGAAATCAGTAGACCATTTATGCATGGGTTTATTTCTGAATTTTCTATTCTCTTCCTCTGGTCTATATGTCTGCCTTTATACTATACTGTTTTAAGTACTGTAGGTTTATAATATATTTTAAAATCAGGATATCTGATGCCTGTGTGATGCCCTTGTTTTACTTCTCTTTCTCAAGATGACTTTGGCTATTTTATATGACTTTTATGGTTTGGAATAAATTTCCTATTTTTTTTTTTTCTTGAGAAGCACCTTTGGTCAGCAGGAGAAAGACAAATACCATATGATTTCACTCATGTGGCATTTAAGAAAAAAAATGAGCAAAGGCAGAGAGAGAGAGAGAGAGAGAGAGAGAGAGAGAGAGAGAGAGGCAAACCAAGAAAGAGACTCTTAACTATAGAGAACAAACTAATGGTTACCAGAATGGATATGGGTAAGGGGATGGGTTAAATAGGTGATAGGGAATAAGAAGTGCCCTTGTGATGAGCCCAGGTGTTGTATGTAAGTGTTGAATCACTATATTGTACAACTGAAACTAATATTACATTGTAGGTTAACTAACTGGAACTTAAATAAAAACTTAAAAAATATCTTTGGGATTTTGATGCAGATAGCATTGAAAATGTAGATTTCTTTGGGTAATATGGAAATTTTTACAATATTAAGTCTTATATGAACACAGATATATTTTCATATATTTGTGTCTTCTTTAATTTCTTTCATCAGTGTTTTGTTGGTTTTAGTGTACAAGTCTTTCATAATCTTGGTTAAGTTCATTTCTAAGTATTTTAGTCTTTTTGATGTGATTGTAAATGGGATTGCTTTACAATTTCCTTTTCAGGTAGTTTGTTGTTAGTATATAGAAACACTACTGATTTTTTGCATGTTGATTTGTAACCTGCAACTTTATTGAATTTGTCTCTTAGTTCTAAGAATTTTTGTGTGTGTGTTGGAAACTTTCAGGTCTTCTGCATATAAGATTGTATCATCTACAAACAGAGATAATTTTACTTTTTCCTTTCCATTTTGGATAACTTTTACCTGTTTTTCTTAAATAATTTCTCTGGCTAGGACTTCCAATACTATAATTGGAAAGAGAGGGCATCCTTATATTGCTCCTGATTTTAGATGAATAGTTTTCAGATTTTTACTGGTAAGTACAATGTTGGCTGTGAGCTTGGTCATATATGGTCTTTATTATGTTGAAGTACATTCCTTCTATACTTAATTTGTTGAGTTTTGATCATGAATAGATATTGAATTTAGTTGGATGCTCTTTCTGTACCTTTTGAGATAATAATATACTTTTTATCCTTCATTTTGTTACTGTGGTATATCACATTTATTTCTCTGCATATTTGAACTATCCTTGCACCCCGAGCATAAATCTCACTTGATTGTTGTGTATGGCCCATTTAATATGTTGTTGAATTGGTTTTACTAGCATTTTATTGGGGATTTTTGCATATATGTTCATCAGGGATATTGCACTGTAATTTTCTTTGCCTGCGACATCCTGGTATGGCTTTGGTATCTGGATAATGCTGGCCTTGTAAAGAGAGTTTAGAATATTCCTTATTCTTTAATATTTTGGAAAGGTTTGAAAATGGTTGGTGTTAATTATTCTTTAAATGTTTGGTAGATTTACCTGTGCAGCTATGTCGTCTTGGGCTTTTCTTGTTGGAAATATTTGATTATTGATTCCATCTCTTTACTAGTGATTGCCTGTTCAGATTTTCTATTTCTTCATGATTCAGTCTTGGTAAGTCAGATGTTTCTAGAAATTTATCCCCTTCTTCTAGATTACCCATTTTGTTGGCATGTAATTATTCTTACCAGTTTTTTTTTTTTGATCCTTTGTATGTCTCTGGCATTAGTAATAATGACTCCTTATTCGTTTCTGATTTTATTTATTTGAGTCTTTTTTTTCTTTAGTTTAGCTAAAGGTTTGTTAATCTTGTTCACCTTTTGAAGATACCAGCTCTTAATTTTACTGATTTTTTTCTATTATTTTTCTAGTCTCTATTTAATGTCTACTCTAATCTCTATTATTTACTTCCTCCTGCTAACTTTGGGATTAGTCTGTTTTCCTTTTTCTAGCTCCTTGAGGTATAAAGTTAGGTTGTTTATTTGAAATTTTTCTCTTTTTTAAGTATAAACATTTATTGCTATAAACTTTCCTTTTGGTACTGCTTTTGCTATATCCCATAAATTTTGATATGCTGGGTTTTCATTTTTTTGCCCTCCCATCAGTGACATTTTTTTTAAAAGGATAGACATTCAACAAAGATGGTAGCACAATTCTATACATGTTGAATGGGTAAGAAATACATAAATATGACAATAAACATGGCACTTTGCCTTGAACATGACCTGAGGGTTGCTTGTGGAAGGGGGCATCAGAAGAATGAGGTTTGTTGGTTATTATGAAGCAGTGGGAAGGAGGCTTAGTTGAAACTGGGTAGAAAGTTGGAATACCTTCTGTGTATGGGGTTTTCATTTTTATTTGTCTCAAGATACTTTCTGATTTTCCCTTTGATTTCTTCTTGTATCCATCCCTCTTTTTCCAGGAAATGTGTAATTTCCAATATTTCTGAATTTGCCAATTATCCTCCTGACTTTAGCTTCATACCGTCATGGCCAGAAAAGATATGTGGTATGATTTCAACCTTAAATTTGTTTAGTCTTGTTCTGTAGCCTAATCTGGGATCTATCTTGAAGAGTGTTCTGTGTGTGCTTGAGAAAAATGTGTATTCTTCTGCCATTGGGTAGAATAGTCTGTATATGTCTATTAGGTCCATTTGGTGTATAGTGTTGCTCAAGACTATTTCCCTACTGATTTTCTTTCTGAATGTTTCATACACTGCTGAAAGTGGGGTATTATAGTCTCCTACTGTTACGGTATCACTGTTTCTCTCTTCAGTTCTATTATTGTTTGCTTTATATATTTGAATGCTCTGATGTTGGGTATGTATGTAATTATTGTATCTTCCTGGTAAATTGATCCTTTTGTCATTATATAATGTCCTTCTTTATCTCTTGTGATCATTTTTGACTTAAAGTATATTTTGTCTGTTATAAATATAGCCATGTCTGCTCTCTTTTGTTTACCATTTGTATGGAAGAGCTTTTTCTATCCCTTTATCTTCAGTCTATGTGTCTTTAAATCTAAAGTGAGTCTCTCTCTCTCTCTCTCTCTCTCTCAAAAAAGAGAGAGAGAGAGAGAATGCATACTCCGTGGGATGGGGGTGGGCAGAGAGAGAGAGTATGAGAGAATCCCAAGCAGGCACCACACTCTCAGTGCAGAGCCTGGTGGGGGGCTTGATCCCACAAACCATGAGATCATGACCTGAGCCAAAATCAAGAGTAGGAAGCTTAATGGACTGAGCCAACCAGGTACCCCTAAAGTGACTCTTTTATTTAGCATATAGTTGGGTCTTATATTTTATCCATTCAGCTATTCTATATCTTTTCCGTGGGGAGTTTAATCAGTTTATGTTTAAAGTAAATATTGATAGGGAAGGAATTAAAATTGCCACTTTCTTTCTGTCTTACAGTTCTTTTGTTTCTCTTTTCCTCTCTTGCTGTCTTCCTTTGTGTTTTGTTAATTTTTGTAGTGATGTTATTTGATTCCTTTATCTTTTGTGTGGCTTCTATAGGTATTTTCTTTGTGATTACCATGAGGCTTCCATAAAACATCTTATAGTTTTAACAGTCTGTTTTAAACTAATGAAAACCTAATCTCAACCACATACAAAAACTCTACACTTTTACTTCTCCCCCGAGACACACTTTGTTATTGATGTCACAGTTTACATCTTTTTATATTGTGCCTCTATTAACATAAAAAATATAAAATTTCATAGTTAAGAGCTTGGGCTTTGGAGTAAGAAAGACTTAGTTGTGTTGGTCAGAAGTCTTGTGTTGCAAGTAACAGATGGTAATACAAGTTAGCAGATATCTGTTTCCAGATATTCAAAAAATGTTATCAGCGACCTCTCCCTTTCAGCTTTTTCTTTCCTCTACTTTGGCTTCATTTGCAGGCACATTCTCTCCATTTTGCAGCCCTAGGCATATGTTGTATATACAGCTAGTGAGCCCACAGAAAAGAGATGCTTCCTTGTTTAGAGAACTCTGACTGGCCTAACCTGAGCTGTATGCCTGTGGTAGGTAGAATTTTAACATGGTTCTGAAAACTTCTAGCCCTTATTGTTTAAAATACCCTTTTGCAGTTATTCTGTAAAGCACTTGTTTAGATGTGTGTGAAAGCACTTGTTTAGATGTTGCTTTTACAGATATAACTCAGGTCCCCAAATCAGCTGATGTTAAGATAAGGGAGACCATCTAGGTGGGCCTGATCTATTCACACACACCCTTTAAATCTGGGTCTTGGGCTCAGAGATGGTGATGTCAGAGATCTGAAGTATAAGGGGTATTTAACACACCATTGCCAACTTGAAGACGAAGAAGGCCATGTGGCAAGGAATGTTCTTAGCCTCTAGAATCTAAGAGAGGCCCAAAGCTAACAGCCAGCAAGGAACAGGGACCTTGGACCTATAGTGGCAAGGAGTTGAATTCTGCCAACTACAAGAATGATTCTAGAAGTGGATTTCTTTCCCAGACCCTCAAGAGGAGACCTCAGCCTGGCCAACACCTTGATTTTAGCCTTGTGAACTCTGAGCAGAGAATTCCTTAACCTTGCTGTGTTTCAGTTTCCTTATCTGTAAAATGTGGACATTAAAGAATATCTACCTTTTATAGTGATTGGGTTGCTTAAATGAGATAATGCATGTAAAGTGCTCAGTGGAGTGTCTGGCATATAGTCTGACCTCAATAATGTTACCTATTATTATTGTTAATGAAACCAGTTCAGGCACACTTAGTAACATCAGTTACAATAATAAGAGTGGGAGAGAAGGGAGAATTGCCAGCTCCTCTCTAGGTCTACTCTACAGCCTAGAAGGATGGTAACACTAGGGTGTCCTGCCATTATGTTAAGGTTCATCTCTTTTCAGCTAGTATTTTGGCTGGGGTTTGGTGGTAAAGAATAAAGAATGAGCCTCAGGAGCTCACAAAAACCCCAAATAAAAAGAGTAACATGATTAGGAGTCCAGAATATAATGGCATTCAAGAAGTTATGGTTTCTTATAAAGAAATATTTTCTTTAGGGATTCAGTGTTGCCATGAGTCCCATAATCACTTTTGGAGGCAAAAGGTAGTAGGAATTATTTGGACCAAAGAAAGAGAATGCTGTGTGGACATTCTTTATGTCTATATTTTTAATTCAAAACATCAGCATATGCTTGTTTTCTATGAAAGCCCACTGCAAAGGATCCTGGTTAGAAAAAAAAAAAAAAAAAGAATCCTTGTTACCACTAATTGTCACCTTAGATCTCAGTAGGAACCTGCAGATGTTAACTGCTCACTGATGCACTAAAGCTTCCTAGGTTTCTCATAAAGGTTCAGAGTCCTTGTGAAATATTTTCTGGAAGTCCATGGATTAATGAAGTTGTTACTTAGAGAGGTGCTGTGAGGCCCAAGCTAATGTTGAATACAAAGTCTCCCTGGGAAGAGAACACTTGGTGGGTTTTTGAGTTGTAAGGGTACGCGTTTGGTTGAGAAACACAGGGAATGTTCATGCAGACCCTGCAAAAGAAAGGCTTCAGATTTTGTAGAATCTGAAGCTTATAACATTTGGAGAGGTCCTCTTTCGGGGATAGATTTTAATTACAGTTAAAATAATTGCACTTTTGCAAATTTCACAAAACCATAAGGCCATGTGAGATCATATGAGAGGGCCACCCAGGGCTCTGGAAATATTGTATGCATATGTATTAAGGCTTCATGGGATTTAGGGTAAATCTACCTCAGCCTGGCAGTGAGATTATTTTGACAGCATGATCTAGAATTAGGGTCCTGCAGCCCATTCCCGCTCATACCTTTGGCTTACTGAGTGATCTCAGGTGATTCACTTGCTCACATGCAATCTTATTGTCTTGGTTTGTCCTGGAAAACAGTGATTTTTTTTTTCCTGTCAGTGTGGCTGCAGGAATAACTATTTTTAAGATATGTACTATCTTTCCTTGGCAGAAAGCTGCACCAGTATACCATATTACCACATTTTTCATCCTAAATTCATCTTTTTAGTGACCTCAGACTCAGTGGAGTGAAGGCTCAAATTTTAAGTCATCGTTTCATGTCTTTACATATCCATCAATATAACAAAGGGAGAGAGAAAAGCCTTTGTTTTGAAAACCTGTAAATTCTCAACAAAACCTATTTAATAAGAACCGTGCATTGTTATAGAAACTAAAGTGTTATCAGATAGCAGTTCAGTAAGAACAAAAAGTAAAAAAGCAAAGTTTTACAGCAAGTATTTCTAGGGTGACTTCAATATAAATTTAATGAAATGTAGGCGTAAAAGGGTCTTGGTTAAAGTAAAGCCGAAATACGGTGAACCGGTGTAGCTTATTAGACTGAATAAGAGCTTATTTAGACCAGGTTTATTTGGACCGAATAAGAGACCTACAGAATTCTTATGCTTTGCTCTCATACATCAAATATCCCAAATGCTACTTTTAGTTTTTTGAGGAAATATGGTTACTTTTTTAGTTTTACCTCAAAATTGCTAGGTAGATCAGTTTTGAACCTGATTGATATGTATTCTTATTCAATTCTTATTAACTCTCTAGTGTAAATTGAGACGAAGATTCTGAACACTTGGCCCTTGTAACAACCAGATGAACACCTCTCACGCTGTTTGAGACAGAACTGTTCACTTCTTCCTCTAGGTTCCCATGACATAATCCAATAGATTTGCCCTTTTACGATCAAAACCAAACTGCCATAGTTGTAGGACTTGGGTGTAAGCCCCAGAAGCACATCCTGAGACAAGACTGGAGTGCCAAGCAGGACAGGGAAGCCAACACAGGGTGCGTTGGCAGGCAGGTTCCCACATTTGGGATATGGTGTACTGCACACCTTAGAGCTGTCCCACTTGGGGACGCAAAGCTGGCTGATAATCTAACCTCTTTGTGTTATTGACAGAGCTGGTCTGGAGGCGTTAGTTATCTCCCAGCACCTTCCTCCACCCGGTGCATAGGCTGAGCTCTCCCTCTGGCAGGTGGAGAGGCACAGGTGCTTGCTGTGGGAAGCGGTGGGCAGGTGTGGGAACCTTGACTGATGAAGGGGTAAGGGAGGACACTAACTGCCTCTGCCATATTATGAAGTCACAGTTTCAGTGCTGGAAGGAAATTTTGAATTTACCCTACAGGATCCAGTTTCTTTAATTGCAAGATGAGGGTGGTAGACTAAATTCTAGTCACTTTGTCTCTAACTTTTAAATGATTTCATTGGCTATAGATCTTTCATGTATGTGTGATCCTGTGCAAAATCATGTACTGATTTCAATGGGTAGAAGGATATTCGCTAGACACGTGATACAAGTACCAAGAGGCTTACAAATATTCTGGAAATGAACAAGTTCAAATATTTCCCTTCTAGGTTAGCATTAGCAGGGGGGTTTCTGTGCATGCCAATACGTATGATGTGACCTAAGTGTGTCTGAATCAAAATACTGCTCTTTTGAGGTGGAGAAGGAAATCTATACCGAATAAAGTCAAGTAGGTAACTTAGTATTTAACTTGGACCTGGTTTTAAAAGTAGTCACAACTCAGGCAATTATTGAAGGTAAACAGAGTGAAAGGTTAGATATTTGAAAATAGCAGGGGAATGATTTTCGATATTTATCTCCGCTCTTCCTTCTTGAAAAGAAACGGGGGAAATCAGCGACCAGTGTGCTTTCCCTCAGCGGCCACGTTGCACTTTAAACTTGTGTTTTGTTGTGTCTGCTATTGATCAATGGGGGCAGGAAGATTTATGGGTGCTCGGCTGGGAGCAGCACCGGCCAGAGATGCAGGCAAAAATCCCTCCGTGACTCACTTGTGGGAGCTGCCCTTCCGGAGCCAGGAATATCCGTCAATAAATAGCAAGGCGGGGGGGGGGTCAGAGACGCCTCCGAGGAGCCACATCAGCTTCGGCCCATCCCACGAAGGGTGGGGATCCGGCTGCCAGGGGCCCTCTGAGGGCTGAAGATCTGTCCCCAAGTCTGTAAATAGCCCTAGCGTCTCTGCATCACAGACATCGCGGCCTTCCTTCCTTCGCCTTGCGCACTGAGGGAACAGGCTAATTCTAAGCCCATCCGCCTGAAGGTGGTGGCCTCGTGCCAACTTTGGGGAACTTTCCAGTGATCTGAACTTTGAATCATCCTAATGCTACTGCACCGATGTGACTATGTTTGCTGATGTATTTTAAGTGCCTTGAAGGACTAGAGGGGAAAGGTCCTTTTCCTCTGAGCAGTTACCCCCCAAATCGTAGGGATCCTTATACTTCAGTCCTTTTATGAATCATCTGGTGAATTTGTTAAAATGCAGATTTTTGCGCCCTTAACAGTTCCCATGTGGAGCCCAGAAATCTGCATTTCCTAGGTAGATTTTGTGGTGGGTGGTCTAGGACTGCACCTTGAGAAATAGCTTTGTCAGGTGGATCTGGTTCATTTTAACAAAGGAGAAGGGGCGGGAGGATGGCTGTCTCGCCTTTGAGTACAGACCCACAGCGACAAGTAAACTAATTCTTGGATGTCTTTTCGCTGATGTGGGGGAAAACACACCATCTCCCAATTCTTGTTGGAATGTATCTAGGTAAAAATTATGTATTTCACATATTGCATATATCCGGTTAAAAAAAAAGCTAGGAGACTTTTCTTAAGCCTATGTACAAATCTAACCCAAGCAAGTAAAGAAAGAAAACCCCCAAACTGCTGATATAATAGATGTCTAGGGCTGTCTTATCACAAACAAGGTTTTGAGATCTAGAAAACGGCAGCATCCTAATGCCGGGAAGGATTCTGAATTCGAAGGTACCGTGAGGCTTGCTAGAGAGGAGAGGAGACCCTGAGAGCAGGGTCTGTATGTATTCAACTCAGAGGGCCCAGACTGTCCGTATTCCATTCTGTCCTGTCCTCTTTGCCCTGCTGCTGTCCTGTCCTTCTCTTGCAAGGAAACAGCCCTTTGTAGCACAGACAACTAGTTGGGACTCCCAGCATGGATGGGTCAGTGTTACAGTTTCTACGTTTGTCATACCTCACCCTGAACTGATTATTATGGAAAATCAGTCAGTTGCTTGCATGGCCTATACTCATGTCCGTACAGAACCATATTGCTTCAGTCTGTTATTTCTCTAGGTTTGTCCTCATTTCAGCTGTTGTTACCAGTATCATGTACTGTGTAAGTAAGAATCTACAGATTCTCAAATTCTTTGGAGTGGCAACACTCAATATTTTGTTTTTGAACGTTCATCATGGACCCTAAACCCCTTTCTTTAAAAAATTTTTTTAATGTTGGGGCGCCTGGGGGGCTCAGTCGG